TTTTTTTCCCCCTAAAAGCCTTTGAAAAAAGGGGGCAAATTTTTGGTTGGGGACCCCCCCAGGGCTCCATGCTCCCGGAGGGGTTGCGGGGGGGCCCCCCCCCCCCCCCCCCCGCCCGCCCCGCCCCGCCCCCCCGCCCCCCCGCCCCCCCGCCCCGCCCCGCCCCGCCCCGCCCCGCCCCGCCCGCCCGCCCGCCCGCCCGCCTCGCTCCCACCTCGCCGTCCGCTCCACGCCGCAGGTACACGCTCGTGCTCACCTCGCTCACCGCCGGCTCGCACGCGCTGCCCCTCCTCTCCGCGCTCCCGCCAAAGATTGACGAGCTGGTCGCCGCGTCTCGCGTCTCGCCCTCGACGGCGGCGGTGTGGGCCGACATCAAGGCGGCCGGCGCGCGCAAGCTGGCCGCGCTGCAGCACGGCACGCAGTGGGCGAGCGAGCTGCAGTGCACCATCGTGCCGCAGCCGGGCGCAGACCCGCTCGCCTCGGGCCAGCCGCCCACTCTCGCCGACTTTGAGATGGTGCGCGAGATCCAGCGCGGCTCGCACGCGGCGGTGTGGCTGGTGCGCAAGCGGCAGACGCGCGACGAGTTCGCGATGAAGGTGATCGACAAGAACCGCGGCCGGCTCCACCGGCTGGTGACGGAGCGAAAGGTGCTCTTCTCGTGCCAGTCGCCGTTTGTGGTGACGGTCTTCTTCGCCTTCGAGGACGCGGACCGGCTGCACCTGGTGATGGAGTGCCTGGCCTCGGACGCGAAGCACCTGCTGCAGCGGCGCGGCGTGCTCGAGGAGCGGCAGGTCATCTCCCTGATGGCGGACACGTGCCTCGGCCTCGAGCACCTGCACACGTGCGGCATCATCCACCGCGACCTCAAGCCCGAGAACATGCTCCTCACATGCGAGGGGCGGGTCAAGCTCGCCGACTTCGGCCTCTCGCAGCTGCTCCAGCGCGGCGCGATCGCCTCCGAGGAGGAGCTCGCGCGCGACCCCTCCATCGTCGGCACGCCCTTCTACATGGCGCCCGAGGTGATCCGCGGCAAGGCGCGCGGCTACGAGGCGGCCGCCGACTGGTGGTCCTTTGGCGCAATCACGTGCGAGCCGCCCGGCCGGCTCCCAAGCGCGCGCGCCCGCGCGGCGCGCCACCGACGCGCCCGCCGCCCCTCGCGCAGGTACGAGCTGCTCACGGGCTTCACGCCCTTCCAGGGCTCAAAGGTGGCCGAGATCTACCGCGCGATCCTGTCGCTCTCTTTCGCCTGCCCGCCGTCGCGCTGCGCCATCTCGGCCGAGGCGGCCGACATGGTCGGCCGCATGCTCAACCCGAACCCGCGAGGGCGGCTCACCGGCGCCCCCACCGTGATGGCGCACCCCTTCTTTGCCGGCGTCGACTGGGCGGCGCACGCTGCGCCCGAAGGCCCGCGCGAGAGCCGGCTGCAGCAGGCGCAGAACCAGCCGACGATGCAGGCGCTCGCCGCGATGGGGCGGGCGCTGCACGGCTCGCGCGGCGCGGCGGGCCCGCTCCCTTCTCTCGCCGGCTCCGAGGGCATCCGCTCGGGCGGGGGCCGATCCGGAGGCGGCCGCTCGACGGGTGAGTCGGCCGCGTCGGCAGCGTCGACCCACCTGGAGCTCGGCTCGGTGCTCTCCTCGCTCAACCCGGAGGACCACGACGCACACCTCGACAACCTGACCGCGCTCAACGACAAGGTGTCGATGGCGCAGCAGAGGTGACGCGACCCCATCGTTGGGCGCCGACGGCGCTAGGCCCGTCTTCGCCCCTCTTGGGTCGGCTAACGTTGATGATGCTTTCGGTGCCCGAGGGCGCGCACTCGGACAGCACCTCTGTTTACTGTGCCCATGCACGATGCTTCCATGTGTCTCGCAAACCATGTCTGGGCGCGGCGCGCAACCCCTGTGGCTGCACACCCCTGTGGCGTGCACGCGCCGTTCGCTCCGGTCGTCCCCCATCGCTGCATCTCTCCCATGTTGCGTGTCTCTTCTCTGCCTCCCCCCCCCCCCCCCAAAGCGGCGGCGGCGGCATGGGCCACCGCTACGCGGCTCGTAGAGAGAGCGGTGTACGGCTCTGCGTCTCCTCTAGAGTCCCCGGTGTCGCGGTGTCCGCTCCCCACCACGGGGGGCTAATATGCGTGTTCCGTGTATGGTGTATCTCTCGTCCCTCCGCGGGGAGCCTCGCCGCGCTCGGCGCCTCCGCGAGCTCCGCGCCCCTCCGGTTACATGGTTTATCGCAGAAACAAGCGAACAGACGCGCGCGGCGTAGCTGCCGGCGGCGCAAATCTCTCACCGTAGAACGCTGACGAACTCGAACAAAGTGACGAAACAAGACGTGGAGGCCTCTCGCGAATTCATTCTCTGCTGGACGATGGCCTCCTAACCCTCCCTACCCCGCCTAGCCATACCCGTCGCCCCCGCCCGCGCGCCCGCGGCGCCTCGTCTCAAGAGGCGCGCGGCACTGCGTGCTGGGGCGTCGACTCCAGCCAGTGCGGCGTCTCTGCCACGCCCCGCCGCCTCAGGACCAGCCACCGCAGCCACCGATGCCGGTCCCAGCCGAGGCGAACCTACTCGCGAGCCGTGAGCGTAACAGAGAGGACAGTCAGAAGCGGCCCTGCGAGAGGCACAAGCGCACAAGCCCCCGCCCGTGGCAGCCTCAGCCGCGGCGTGGCCGGAGTGTGCGCGACCACGCCGTCTCAGACCATGACGCCTCCGCCGGCGCGGCCTTCAGACCGCGCTTGCCGCCGCCGCTGCTGCCGCTGCCGCCGCTGTTGCTGCCGCCGCCGCTGCCGCCGCCGCCGCTGCCGCTGCCGCCGCCGCGCCTGGCCTCGCGAACCGGCCGCCCGCTGCTGCTGTCGCCCTCGGCGTTGCCGTTGGCTCCGCTGTTCTCGGCCGCCCGCTGCGGCGGCG